GAACCATGGGTTTGGGCCAGATGTTGTCATTTTTAGTTTGACGCCTCCGATGATTTCCGAGTGATTTTGAATTGATTTTGAAATGATTTTGGAATGATTTTCGAGATTTCCGTTCCAAAATCACTCCGAAATCACTCCTTTCCTAGGAGTGGAGTGATTTCGGAGTGGTATTGTAGTGATTCTGGAATGATTTTGGAATGATTTTCGAGATTTCTTCAAAAATTGTTCCAAAATCACTCCGAAATCACTACTTTCCTAGGAGTGGATTGATTTCGGAATGATTTCGGACTGATTTTGCAGCGATTTTGGAATGATTTTGGAATGATTTTGTGGTGATTTTGGTGGATGTTCGAGATTTCCTCAAAAACTTGTTCCAAAATCACTCTGAAATCACTCCTTTCCTAGGGGTGGAACGATTTCAGAATGATTTCGGATTGATTTTGGAGTGATTTGGTAGTGATTTTCAAGATTTCCTCAAAAATTGTTTCAAAATTACTGCGAAATCGATTTTTTCCTAGGAGTGGAATGATTTAGGAATGATTTCGGAGAGATTGTAGTGATTTTGGAATGATTTTCGAGATTTCCTCAAAAATTGTTCCAAAATCACTCCGAAATCACTCGTTTCCTAAGAGTGGAGTGATTTCGGAGTGATCTTGGAGTGTGATTTGGTAGTGATTTTCGAGATTTCCTTAACAATTTTTCCAAAATCACTCCGAAATCGCTTTTTTCCTAGGAGCGGAGTGATTTCGTGGAGTGAATTGCTCCAAAATCACATCCAAATCACTACTTTCCCAGGAGTGGAGCGATTTCGATGTGTTTTTCGGAGTGATTTCGGAGTCATTCATCGGAGTGCTTTTTTTGGAGTGGTTTTTGGAGTGGAGCGATTTCGGCGTGATTCTTTGGAGTGACTTCGGAGTGCTGTTAGTAACTTTGCAAGCAGCTCTGCTGGGAGTCCGTTACTTTCTCTAAGCCTCTAAGCCCCCTAAACTAAACCCTAAGCCCTAAACCCTAAATTCTAAACCCCAAATCCTAAACCGGCCCTAACCTCTGACCCCTAAACTGGCCTAAACCCATACACCCCTACACCCCTAATCCCTAAACCCTAAACGCTATTTTTGTTCTTGGGCTTGGAGATTATGCTAGAATAAATTACCCGTGGATGCCAATCTTCCAAAACACTGGCACCTAGCTAATCTCAAACAAGGAGACAGCCCAAACACTTGCAACAAAGCTACCCCCAAAAAGGAAGCTGCCAAAACACTAGAAACATAGCTAGCTCAAATCAGAAGGCTGAAAACGAGCTATTTGAAATCATTCCGAAAACAATCCAAAATCACTAAAAACCTATTTTGATGATCCACAATGCTTACCACGAAGAGGAAGTCACAAGATGAGGCAAACCTAGCCAGGCACAACGTCATTTGGAGTGCGTTGTGTAGCTGTACTGCCACTGTCTGATGATACAGCATGCCTTGATGCATGCTGCCATGCGCGCTGTCTAACATATTGCACAGAATTGCTTAGGCTTCTTACCCCGAGACAACCATCACGTCCCATGCGTTCATTCCAGGGCTCGCATGCAACCTTGAAGCCCCAGTTCCATTGTTTTTGTTGACTCATTCTTGGCGACGTTGCTTGCTAGCAAGCATGGGGATCCTCACAACAGATGTCGTGGAGTACCGTCCTGAGATCCACACAAGGTGCTTTGTGCAGTGGCTTTTCTTCAGTGCTTTTCCAGTAGACGGTATCTGTGCTTTCGTTACACATTGGCTTGCACTTGGACCTGATATGACCTGGTTATGTTGGAGGTTGAATCTGAAGGTGGCTGCGCTAGAATTGCTGGACATTGGCGCGCACTTGGACTTGGACTTGATTGCGTTGGGGCTGGGCTGTGAGTGCACATATGCATTTGTAAGTGTGCAGGAGTGGTCGAAAGTCCACTTGCTAGCTTGGGCGCAGGTTATCAGTCATTCCTGACAGCGCAAAAAACTGGGTTTCTGCTATGCATGTTAGTGCAATATTGGAATTCTGGTGGCAGTGGCTGGTGTGAAGCAGTGCTTTTGTTTTGGAACCTTCAAGACATCCTTCATC